GGACGGGATGTGCTCAGAAAAGCCCTGGCTACAAAACCTGCTCTCAAACCACATCAAGGACTGATGCACTTCCCTGCCCTGCAGACATGGAGGCAGCTGGGATGCATCCCAGAGGGCAAGGGAATGCCTTCAGTAGGCAAATTTCCAGGGAGAGACTCTCCCTACCAGTGGCAAGTCATGCTCTAATTTTGGGTTGGGCCTGTGTCTGCCTTTTGGTGTGAGGCCAAGGCAGGAGGGTGTGATGTCTGCAGACCCATGTCCCTTGCAGGGACACGACTGCCCTCCAGCAAGGGCAGATCCATCCATAACCCAGGAAAGGTGGTGCAGGCACTGGGCTGTACCCAAGTACAGAGCTTCAGGCAGCCACGACAGCCATTGCTGACAGCATGAGCTTCTTGCCAACACTCCCACTGCTTCAGGGGCTCACAGGACAGTCAACATGTTTTGCAAAAGTCTCTCGTGCTGCTCTGGGTTTAAGGCATGCAGCCAAAGCTCATGGCACTGTGAGGAGAATGGGACAAACAAGGTGCTGTGCCAAGCCCCAATGCACCCCTCATGTAGTGAGGAGAGACTCTACCAGAACGGTAATCATGGTCCTTAGGAAGGGTGACATTTGCTTTCTTCATGGTGACTGAAGGCAGTGATTTGAGACCCCCAGAAACTGCCATGAGAGGGGGTGACTCTTCCAAGTAAATCTGTAAAGGATGGAGGGAGAAGGATAAGTCATGTCATTAGGCACAGGAGCCTTTGGGTACTCAGGACAGACTCCTGCACTGGCAGGGGGAGAGTCAAACCTTTCTGTAATGGGGTTTGAAAGGAACATCACCAGATTCCCCAGTTCCATGTCCTACATCTACACAGACCCCTCCTGCACCTGAGGGTACATCTTCTGGTGACAGGGGCATGATCCATCTTGGGAAATCATTGGAGCTGTCATCCTGGAACTTGAAAGGAGCCTACATAGCATAATGGGCACGTCAGAAACGAGGAAATGCACTGGCAATGGTGATGGAAAACAAAAGACAACCTGGGGCATTAGGTGGGATGTTTTGCTTTGAAGATGAGTCTGTTGGAAAATTACTGTCCTCATGCAGTGACTGGGGGCCTGGGGCAGCACAGGAGCAGTATAAAAGCTGTTCCATCTCCCCACTGTCTCATCCACTCCTCTCCAGTCTCCTTGGGAACAAGGTAAGTCTGAAGCTCTTTATTCTTCTTTTATTCATTCTCACCATCGTGCTTCCATGGGATTTTTCAGCACAAAGCTGTCTCTTTGTCCTATACCTGATTCTGGGGTCCTTGCTTTCTATACCATTCCCTTGCTTTCTATGGGACAGGGAAAGATGCAAAAAGGGTGACATGGAGAGACCTTGGAGCTCAGTTAGGTGTCTCCTGTGGTGTGGGCTGGAAAGGGATCTCCCAGAGCTTGGTTGTGTTTTGCAGGTCTATTTTGGGCTTTGGAGAACTGTAGAAACCCAAGGCACCCAGGCAATATTTCTCTGCCTGCTCTGGGGTGCCCTGGTCCCCAGGGGAGCTCTGACTTTGACCCTCATTCATGGAGAAAACTAAACTTCAAGATAGACTGGAATCCACAAAAGTGTGGAATAGATTATAGAGAGCAGTGTAGGTGTATCACTTGGTGAGAAATTGTGGTTTTGGGATTTTTAGTATGTTGTGGATGGAAGCAAGATGGAGGGCACAGGGTGTTGTCCTGGGTTTTTTCTTCATGCTTCTTCTTCCTCCTTCTCCATGGTTTTGGGTGGCATTTTGTAATTGGGCAGAAGAGTCCACATTGGGGGCTCTTTGGGGTCAGTTATTGGGTTAAAAGGGAAAATAATCTAAGTGTCTGTCACTCTTGCACCAGGATTGGGGCAGGAACAGGCGAGAGGCAGGATGGTAGAAAAGGCAAAGAAGGTTTTATTCAAAAGAACCGCGCGGTTTTTATAGAGTGGTACAATAGATTCTATTCTATTGGCTAACTAACAGAAACATCTTTCTCACACACTATCCTTGAAAGGAACAGAAAAATAAAGTAGAAAAACACCACCTGCAAATTGTTTATAGTCAACAAGTTATCACATCTTTCCAGCTCCCTAAAACTTCTCACAAGCCGCTGTGAGAAACGCTCGCCATTTCTCTCTCTCTGTCCCATGGCATCCACAGGTGTCAGTTCTTAATTGGATAATTTAGTCTTAAAAGACCTTGTAACAAGAGATTGTTGGCCATTTTGTGCCTTCTAATGAAAAGCTGCCCAAATCACAGCAGTGAGACTGTTTTACTGATAAGAAATAATAAACTCTTTAGTCTGAACATGAATTACTGTCCCAAGTGCGTTCAGTCCAGACTCAGAAAAATGGATGACTGGGACCCCCACAGAGGCCTCCCTATGGTCCTTCCAGCTCTTTGTGTGAGCTGTCTTCTCTCCCTTGTGATGGTGTTACAGGCTTCTACTCACTTGTGCTTTTCTACCACCCTTCCCTCTCTCTCAGGTGCACCTGCAGCCCACAGCCATGTCCTGCTACACCCGGTGCCAGCCCTGCCAGCCCTGTGGCCCCACCCCGCTGGGCAGCAGCTGCAATGAGCCCTGTGTCAGGCAGTGCCAGGACTCCACCGTGGCCATCCAGCCCTCACCCGTGGTGGTGACCCTGCCTGGGCCCATCCTCAGCTCCTTCCCCCAGAACACCGCCGTGGGATCCTCCACCTCTGCTGCTGTGGGCAGCATCCTCAGCTCTCAGGGAGTGCCCATCAGCTCTGGGGGCTTTGGCCTCTCTGGCCTGGGCAGTGGCCTCTGTGGCAGGAGATGCTTCCCCTGCTAAAGGTGCTGGTGATGATTCCAGGGTGTGAACCTAAGGACTCAGCAGGATGGTTCTTCACTGGGGATGAAGCATCAGCTTGTTGCTTCCTGAGTGGCTGAGCAAGCCCAGCAGCCCTTGCAGAAGGACTCTTGGCAAGCACAGCCCAGCCCTGCCTCTGTCCCCTGCCACTCTCTCCTTTCCCTCCTGTGTCCTTGTTCCCTTGTGCTCCCTGGGGCTGTGAGCCCCACACATCCAGCCAGGGGAGCACCTGCTGGCCCTGCTCCCTCTGTAGGGCAGGCAGATGGACTTCTAGAGGGTTCTCAGCCACAGCCATGGGGCACAATCTCTTATCTGTCCCTCGTGCTCACTTCACCATGACCATCGCTTGAAATGACCTAGTTTCCCTCTCTTGACTCATTAAAGTTATGCTGCATTTGAGCCATTGCCTCTGTGTCATTTTTCCTGCAGATGCTCTCCCAAGACAACCAGGGAAAGAGATGTTGCTCAGTCTTTGTTCTGGGAGGTGTTTGGGGATGGCTCTGAAGTGACTGGTAACACAGGCTTGCATCAAGTTTGCTTAGTCAGACACTGGATTAATTTCTGCTTTCTAAATCTTGCAAAACTTGCAGGATGATGACATTGCAGATGCCAAAGGGATTTTATTGCTAATGGCATCCAGGGCCAGCTTTAATCTTTATGGATGGAAAGTTCATATGGAGCACCACTCTTTCTCTAGTGCACCAGGATAACTTGGTCCATATCTGCCAATCCTTTCTATGCCATGAAATTTCCATTTCTTTGTCACTACACACAAAAACTGCATGCCAGAATCCCTTTACTTATGCTTAAACACTCCACCTGGCAGCAATCCCTCCTTTTTTTTTTTTGTGGGATAAAAATCTCTGCAAAGACAAAAAAGTTTTTGTCACTGAATTGTTGGACTTAGTGGAGTCTTTAACAGTTTCTTTCAGCCCTTGGAACAGAGCAGTGAGACCAGGTCAATGTAGGCTAGTAGAATCTACAAGGATGTGTGGTCTTGGGACATGGAGAGATAAAATTTCCACTACAGAATCTTTTCACCCCTTTGTCCATCCTCTGAAGAGTGGCTGCTGTCAGAACAAGGTTCATTGACTGGACGTGTCTGGCTGTGGAGGTGAAATAGCAGCTTCACCCAGAGCTCAGCCTTCATTGAGTCACTGAATACCCTTGTGACGTTGTGAGGTCCCTAGGATGAGGTGAGAGGTGAGAATTTGACTCCATGTTTCTAGGCTGATTTATTATTCTATGATATGATATGATATGATATGATAAGAAATGATCTACTAAACTATACTAAAGAAAGAGAAAGGAGACATCAGAAGGCTAAACAAGAATGAATAATAAAAACCTGTGACTGATGAGGAGAGTCCGACACAGCTGGCTGTGACTGGCCATTAATTAAAAACAATTCACATGTTTGGATAAACAATCTCCAGACCACATTCCAGAGGAGCAAAACATGGAGAAGCTGGGGCTTCTCATCTTCCCAGGAGAAGAAATCCTGGCAAAGGTATTTTTTAGAAAATATCACAGTGACATACCCTGAGCTGGAAGGCACCCACAAGGATCACTGAGTCCAAATCCTGGCCCTGCACAGACACCACAGCCATCCCACCCTGTGCCCGGGAGCATTGTCCAAATGTTCCTTGAGCTCTGGCAGCCTTGGGACTGTGACCATTCCCTGGGGAGCCTGTTCAATATCTGACCACTCTCTAGGGAAAGATTCTTTTCCTGATTTCCAAACTAAATCTCCTGCTGAGAAATAGAAGACCCATGCCCACCTTTCTCTCTGGCAGCTGGGGAGAGTCAAGGACCACACAGAGGCACAGGCTGGGATGCAGCAAAACTTTAATTAAGAAGAAAAGCAAGCCCTCTGAGTGGGCACCATAGTGCAGGGAGCACCAGGGAGATGTGGAAGACTTGGCCACGAGTCCCTTGGTGCAGTCACAGCTTGGATGGGGCTTAGCCAGTGATCACAGCCTAGCGGAGGACATGAGAGCAAAGACAAAAAAAGAACAGGAGGGAAACAGGCAAGGTAGACAAGAGGCCATGGTTTGAGAGGCCAGGCACAGCTCTTCCCAAATGCCATGGATGCTGAGTGCCTCTAAATGACCATATTCAGTCCATTTCCATCTTCTGGGTTCCAGGGGGTCCTTCTGTGGGGCAGCTTCAGCAGACCCTGTTCCAGGGGCGCCTGGTGATGCAGGAGAGGTCAAATCCCCTGGAGCTGATGGGCACTCCCTGAGAGTTGAGGATGCTGCCAACAGCAGCAGAGGTGGAGGATCCCACAGTGGTGTTCTGGGGGAAGGAGCTGAGGATGGGCCCGGGCAGGGTCACCACAACAGGGGAGGGCTGGATGAAGATGGTGGAGTCCTGGCACTGCCTGACACAGGGCTCATTGCAGCTGCTGCCCAGCGGGGTGGGGCCACAGGGCTGGAAACAGGGGCTGCAGGGCTGGAAACAGGGGCTGCAGGGCCAGTAGCAAGGGGTGCAGGGCTGGTAGCAGGACATGGCTCGGAGTCACACGTGCACCTGGGAGAGAAGAAAGAGACAAGACGGGGATGATTGAGGAGCCACCTCTGCACCCACCACAAGGGAGCCAAGACACAGCCTGGCCTGGGAGATGCAGCCTGTGCAGGGAGGTGTTTTGCTGAGATAACCCAAAATTCCACAACTTTGTGAAAGTTGTAAAGCTGGTATGTTTATTACAGTGCTGGACCATGTGGAGATTACTCTCCTTAAAAGACATGCTACCTCTGGGAACTTCAGGTCCCTTTTTATCCCCCTCTCAAATACATACGAATACAATTTCACAATAGGTTCATACATATTCATTTTTACGAATTTCACGAGACATTTGCCGCTAGTTCTTCTTTATCAGAAAGAATTCCTAGGTCAGGTTGGCCTGCTCTCACAGCAGTCTCTGTCTCTCTTTATCACCCTCTGTCTCCCCCCCCCACCCCCTTCCCCCCTTCCCCCTTATCTCTGTCCTTCACTGAAGCAGTTTCTCTGAGCCTAGACTTTTGTAGTCAGGCTGCATAGCCATGTTTTCTAACCACAGACTCAAAGATGTACATTTCACCTAAATCAAAATGGATTTCTACTCTGGAGAATTTCTACTCTGTCTCAGAGGACCACACGATTCTTTGCCTACTCCCCATCACTGGGCAAGGATAGACAGGCCCACAAAAGCAATTTCTTAGTCAAGAGAACAAGAGTTCCCCCAGCCCAGACACAGCCCCTCTCCACACCAAACCCTCTCTCCACCTCCCCTCCCCAAACAGGCAGCCTCAAGCCCAGTATAGGACAGAGCCTCCAACTCACTTGCTTCCAAAGGAGAAGAAGAGCAGTGGAGTGGATGAGAGAGTGAAAAGCTGGGATGCCTTTTATACTGGTCCTGCACTGCCCCAGGCCCAGAGGAAGTCTCTCTGGAAACAATAATTTTCTGAGAAGCTCATTTCAAGTGCAAAACACTCCAATTACCGATATGAGCTGTGTTTTGTTTTCCTGCATGGCTGCGTTTCCATTGCCTTCTTTGGCCACACACCTTTCTCCCTGAAGGCTCCATTTTAGGGCTGATCATGGAAGCCCATGGACCTGTGGGACAGCAGCTCATTGGTGCCAGCAGAAGATGAGTCTTGAGTGCCAGAGGCACCGCCTGCAGTCTGGGGACATTGGCTTGGGGCACTCCCATGGGCAGGAAGGGCCCTGCAGCTCCAAGCCCTGGAATGCTTGCTCAGATGCTGAAGGGTTAGTGAACGTGTTGATGGGCCACATCCCTTCCTCCCACCCTCCAAAATCTCTGGTTGACACTGGCCATTGCCTTTGCTGTCCCAGCTGTCCCCTCCCTAGTTCTTGTGCCCCACTGACTGGTGGGGCAGTGTGAGAACCAGAAGAGGCCTTGATGTGGTGAAAACAACACTGACCAAAGAGCCTCCAGCTGAGCAGCTTTGGGCTTGTGTGGCAAAGGAGACTCAGAGAAACCGCTTGGGTGGGCAGGGCTGGACCATCCTGGGAGAGGACACCATGAGGTTGTTTGTGTTTGTAGGGAATCATCAGAGAGATTCCATGGAGTGTATGAGGACACGATGAGGTTGTTTGTGTTTGTAGGGGACTCTCAGAGAGATTCCATGGAGTGTATGAGGACATGATGAGGTTGTTTGTGTTTGTAGGGGACTATCAGAGAGATTCCATGGAGTGTATGAGGGCATGATGAGGTTGTTTGTGTTTGTAGGGGACTGTCAGAGAGATTCCATAGGGTGGATGAGGCACAACAAGTGCACCAAGGACTCCTAAAGAGCAACATTTAGAGGAAGAGAGACAAGAGAGCAGTGCTGATGACCAATCTGCTAAGGCATGGCCAGTGTCAACCAGAGATTTTGGAGGGTGGGAGGAAGGGATGTGGCCCATCAACACGTTCACTAACCCTTCAGCATCTGAGCAAGCATTCCAGGGCTTGGAGCTTCAGGGCCCTTCCTGCCCATGGGAGTGCCCCAAGCCAATGTCCCCAGACTGCAGGCGGTGCCTCTGGCACTCAAGACTCATCTTCTGCTGGCACCAATGAGCTGCTGTCCCACAGGTCCATGGGCTTCCATGATCAGCCCTAAAATGGAGCCTTCAGGGAGAAAGGTGTGTGGCCAAAGAAGGCAATGGAAACGCAGCCATGCAGGAAAACAAAACACAGCTCATATCGGTAATTGGAGTGTTTTGCACTTGAAATGAGCTTCTCAGAAAATTATTGTTTCCAGAGAGACTTCCTCTGGGCCTGGGGCAGTGCAGGACCAGTATAAAAGGCATCCCAGCTTTTCACTCTCTCATCCACTCCACTGCTCTTCTTCTCCTTTGGAAGCAAGTGAGTTGGAGGCTCTGTCCTATACTGGGCTTGAGGCTGCCTGTTTGGGGAGGGGAGGTGGAGAGAGGGTTTGGTGTGGAGAGGGGCTGTGTCTGGGCTGGGGGAACTCTTGTTCTCTTGACTAAGAAATTGCTTTTGTGGGCCTGTCTATCCTTGCTCAGTGGTGGGGAGCAGGCAAAGAATCGTGTGGTCCTCCCTGCACTGGCTGCATCTCCCAGGCCAGGCTGTGTCTTGGTTCCCTTGTGGTGCGTGGAGAGGTGGCTCCTCAACCATCACCATCTTGTCTCTTTCTTCTCTCTCAGGTGCATCTGTCACTCCGAGCCATGTCCTGCTACCAGCCCTGCACCCCTTGGTGCCAGCCCTGTGGCCCCACCCCGCTGGGCAGCAGCTGCAATGAGCCCTGTGTCAGGCAGTGCCAGGACTCCACCATCATCATCGAACCCTCCCCTGTTGTGGTGACCCTGCCTGGGCCCATCCTCAGCTCCTTCCCCCAGAACACCACCGTGGGATCCTCCAGCTCTGCTGCTGTGGGCAGCATCCTCAGCTCTGAGGGAGTGCCCATCAGCTCTGGGGGCTTTGACCTTTCCTGCATCACCAGGCGCCCCTGGAACAGGGTCTGCTGAAGCTGCTGGTGACTGCCCCACAGAAGAACCCCCGAACCCAGAAGATGGAAATGGACTGAGTGTGGAGATCCTGACCATTGCTTTCAGAGGCACTGAACATCCATGACTCCACCTGCACTGGAGGTGGGGTGTCTGGGCTTTCTGAAACCTTGACTAAATTGCCTGTTTCTCCCGCTCTTCTTTCTCTCTTTTTCTTCTCTGTGATCACTGGCTAAGCCTCATCCAAGGTGTGAACTGCACCGTGGCCAAGGGACAGAGTCTCCTTCATCCCTCTGGTGCTCCCTGCACTATGGTGCCCACTCAGGCGGCTTCCCTTCCCTCTTCCAACTCATTAAAGTTTTGCTGCATCCCAGCCTGTGCCTCTGTGTGGTCCTTCTCTCTCCCTGTGTTGTCTCCAGCTGCCAGACAGAAAGGTCTTGCTCTGGAGGTGTGTAGCAGGCACAGATGAGAGCCCTGGGTCTTCCTGGAGTGATGGAAGGGTGAGACACTATAGCAGGATATTCTGCCCTGTAATGTGGTCAAGTAACTTGGAGACTCTCTGTCTGGCTCACCAAACCCCAGTCAACATCCTTACATTGCTGCAATGATAGACACGTGACTGAGAGTCAATCCCTCTGTACTATAGATGTCCAGTCCAATTTTAGACAATAGGTTATTCTAACATTTTCTTGTTTGGATGTGTGTATGAACTTTCCTGTCTTGGAGTAGAAATGACTTCAAGACTGCTCTTTATGTCAAGTAAAAGAGACCTGCCCATGAGCATTGGTATGCTGAGTTGCACCAATATCTATTTCAACAGTTCTTTATTTTTGCTGGCTTTGATGTAATTGCTTTAATATAATTGCTTTGATATAGTGCAGTATCCTATTCTACACAGTACTAATAGTTTTAGGTTTTATACTGTGTAGTAAATAATTCTGATTAATTTATTTTGTCTAATAACTTGTCATAGTAATTTATTATATATATGTATATTTATGTATCTAAAATTTTCCATTATTAATCCTGTGGGATAAAGTGATTTAAACCACTCACAGTCTAGGGCTAAGATTGGATGCAACCTAACCCAGACTCCTCTTTGAGGAGGAATTTAGAAAGCCAGGGTGTCCTCTCTGCACCTCTCAACTCAGCAGGACTTCTCTAAAAAACTCTGTCTGAAGCTCCCTCTCCACCAGAGACAATTTGGGTTGGCAGGATGGCAAATTTTGAGAAACAGACAAACCAGAATATTTACGGAGGCACAATATAGTCAAGAAAATGTGGGACATGGAATAGAAAAGGAAAAACACACTGCCATTTTGGTGAGAAAAGTACATTTCCAAGCAATGAAATCCAAGGCATTTAGTCTTTGTTTTACTTAACTAAAGCTTTGCAAATTAGAAGTTGAACACCTTGGAGAGAAGGCTGAAAGGGAATTGAATGCTAAAAAGAGCTTGGCTGAAAACTTGAAGAACCAGCTGTATGACTTCCTCCAAAGAGAAAGAGAATTAAATTTGCGAACTCCCTGTCTCAGTGGGGAGCTGGAGAATTAGGAGGAATTTTCCAGCCCTGCTAATGAGGTAGACTGGGAGGCAGACTGCATTTAATATGACCTCCCCATCCTCTGTTCATTGTCAGAAAAGTTTGATGCAGTAAAGCCTCACCCTAAACTCTGCCAATTTGTAAAAACTGAATTAATATATGAGGTAGAGCCCACTGCAACAACTACAGATAAACCTTGCACTGTGATGCGGTTGGCTAAACTTCAAGAGTGATGTAGCAAAGATTCCAAAAAAACCAAACTGGGCCAGCACCTCTAACAGAACACACAGACATGCCCAGCAGTGGGATGGCACACAGGGCTCTTATATAAGACCCATTTATGTAGGATGGCAAATATAATCCTTGCCTTTAGGTCCCAAGCACTCTGCAAATAACAGCCCATGAACATTCTGTCGAGCCCAGAGCATTGGATCCATTCACACAAATCCACACCCTGGTGGAAGAGAACAGGAGCTCCATCTCATCTGTTGCAGAATGGAGGTAAGGGGAGTAAAAAATATCCTGGTTTGAAAGATGTCTGCCAAGGAAGGTGGGAACCTCCCTTGGAATGGAAAATGTGAGCCCCTTCCCTCCAAATTATTGTAGCTTTGAAATTATGGGGCTTTCAGGCAAAGAGATGGGAAAAAGAATAACAGTCCACTGAGGAATGGCTTCATCCTCTGGGAGTAACAGAAGGAAAAGGTCCTGCAGACTCGCATTGTTTTTAAGGAGAAAAAGGAGAGTGAAGTGGATGAGAGACCAAGGACCTGCATTGGCTTTTATGCTGCCCCAGGCTCAGGAGGTTGCCCAAGCAGACAGAAAAATTTTTTGACATGTTCTTCTGAAATGTAAGGCATCCCAGATGATACAGGCTGTGTTCCAGGTTCCTGGTGCCTTTCACTTCCTTGTTTACACTAGGATATTTCCCTCCTGGATGTTTGTTTTGAGGTTAAAATGAGATTTCCTAAAATTTCTGGGACAGGAGCATGTAATTGTGGGCAGAACACTCACACCAATTGCTGGAAAAGTTCTCTACAGACCAGGACCAGTGGCCTGGGATAGTCCTGGGATGGTGTTTTCAATCACACTGACAAAAGGCCAAGCTCCTCTCAGCCCTGCAATCTTTGTCTAGACACCAAATGGATCCCATTTGTGAGGACACATCATGTCCTTTTCCCTCTCTCCCTCCCAGCACCTGATTGCAACTTTCTTTCTCTTCCAGGCAGCTGAACTACACTGCTGAACTTCAATATTTTTCCTTCATTCACCAGCCTTGGAAGAGATTTCCCAGGTTGTTTGGCTTCCTCCACTCTTCAGGCCATGACTGGGCATCCTCAGCCAATCCATCTTTGGTCCATGAGGTGCCTTGGTGTGCTCCAGCCCAGACAGGGTTGTGCCTGTTGAACCCACAGTGGTCACATAAGGGCATTTTTGCTTGATGGATGCACTTAGGTGGATGATA